GGGGCGCACCAAGGGTAGCTGGAAACTGGGGCGTTCCCGGAGGGAGGCCCTCGGGGAGCGGGGAACCGGTTGGCCGCGGTGGTTCCTGGCAGTGGTGACCCGTTTCAGCCAGGGGACTGCACGGCCATGCTGGCTGCAGCCGCCTCCAGGGCCGAGGCCCTTTCTTGGCTGGGCTTCCGCACAGCGACGAGATACACGAGTGTTTCGGAAGAAACGTGCGAACACGGTGGTAGCAGGCGCGGCGCGGAGCCCAGCCTGGTGTCCCCAGGTCGCGGCTCAGCCGCTCTCGACAGCCCTTTGCCTGACCGCCTCCTCACCCCCACAGGCAGAGGCTCGGAACTTTTCTATCGATACAGGCTGTTAGTGAGAAAACTTGTCGACATTGCCCTAACTGAATCTTAAATCTGCTACTTTATTACGCACAATGACCACCGAGAACAGTTTATAACCTCCTCTTTTGCAGCAGCCTTTCACGTAGTTAAAAACTTAGTATGTTTTTGGTCTGTCGTCTTTTCTGTAGACTAAACACCTCCTCTTCGTTCAGTCTTTCCCCAGGTTGGCTTTTCTAGACTTCTGATTATTCGTGTTGCTTTCCTTTGGCCTCCCTCCACGCTCTCGAAGTGTTATGCCAGCAGCTGGATGCAGTACTCCGGTTGAGGCTGACTGAGTACTGAGTAGAATGGAGGTATTACCTCATGCGTCTTACATACGAGACTGCTGTTTACATATCCTGGTATGATGTTTGCTTTCTTCACGATATGACATGGCTGACTTGTACTGTTCCTAATTTACTAAAAAACCTTTGAATGCACTCCTATTATCAGAATTTCATACACTTCTAAGGTTTTATCTCTGTTTAACCGTAGTGCATTCTGCTTGTCCCCATTGAATTTCATCCTGTATTTCAGGCTACTTGCACTATTTGTCAATATAATTTTATTTATAATCTTGTCCTCCAAAACACATGCTATCCCTTCCAACTTGGTTGTATCAGCAACTTTAAGAATCATATTATGTATTCCAGAGTCATTAATAAAGATATGCAATACTACCAGATCTCTGCAAGCCCCTGTTAGACGTATCCTTCCGGTATGACAGGTGATAGCCATTCTTTGGGCATAGTTTACACAACAATTTGAACAAAAGACAGCTAAAACTGTTTAAAGTATAGAGGTACTTTAATGGATTCGATATCAAGCTAAGAATGTTTAGAACAACTTTGTGTAATGCCTGACTAGAAATCATTCCTCTTTCAGTCTCTTTCGGGTTTTCTTTTTGACACGTATGTCAGAAATTTCCAAAATGACAAGTACACTGTTCTACTGTTTTGCTCAAACCTCAGCAGGATCAAGAAAATTCCTTATTACTCATGTATTCAAGTGTTCACAGAATTGAGGCCAAATGCTTTCCCAATGACATTCTGAAAAAAGGGGAAAAAAAGCAGAAAAGACCTTAATTTCTAATGGAAAACCAGACACAAATCTTTGTCACTTTCTTCATACTTAAAAACAAACTTATTACTCATCAACTGTTTTCCACTTCAAATCATCTTTCTGCCTAATTATACAGCAAGTTCTCTTAACTGGGAACTTCAGCAAGACCAGTGTCAGGGCTCAGCTGAACAGTATTTCTTGGAAGGAAGAGCAACAAGGACGAACATGGAATTTTCCTTTATGGTTTCTGACATACTGGACAGTTGTACAATTGGCATTAGACATTTAAAAGCTCCACATTTCGCATCAGGGCAGACACATGATTGATAAACCACTGTTGATGAAACTGTTCATATTCCTGCCAATTTTGCCTCAATTAATCACATTAAGAAAGAACATAAAAGATTAATTCAAAGCTTCTCAGTGCTTTTAGGGAAAAGCAGGGTTCTATTCAACCCCCAAGATGAGGATTAGCAGGGTTTGGGCTATGTGTGCAAAAGCAGGGTTATCAGAGAGGAAGGTGCTCCAGGTCTCCAGGCTACACATATTCTCATTTGAAACATGACAAAATGCATGTGTTGTAATACACATCCCCAAACTTAATTTTCTTCTTACATTACATTCATTTATCCTCCACAAATCACCCAAGCTTATTAAAAATTAGTGTGATCATCTAAGTGAGCGAACAATACAGAAAGAACTGTTTCGTCTTGAATATGGCATTCACAGGCTTAAAGTTGTCTTGAGATTCTGTGTCTGATCTATGTAAATAAGAGCTTCTATGTCAAGGCATAATTTTGGAGATACAAAGAATGCTTGATATCGATAAACATGTATGTTTGCTATTTTGCTACCAAGAAAGACGAATGGAAACTACCCCGGGAGACTGCATAGTAATGTAACTCAGCCCCCAAGAACCCCCTTGGAGCTGTTAAGCATATGGGTGACAGGGATGTGCTAAAATCCTTTTTTACTACATAAAAAAAAAACCCAGTGTACAAGATTAAAGCTGCCCAGTGGAGTTAATGCTTTAATTAACAATAAAACTACAAAATTTTTACCATTATTTCACTTTATACTAGCATAACGGAGCAAACAATCAGACTACAAATCTTTATACGTCTTATTTGTTGATGCTCAGCAAGCACATTAACAGTGCGGTGTGGTTATTTTATGTGGAGTGTTACGGATGGTTGGTATCAGCACATCTCCTCTAGGAAGACTTTCAAATTGAAATGTTTTTGTCATTGCACTTTTAACTAGGTTGAATATGAACAACATTTTATAGATGAAAGGAAGCTAGTCTTGGACTGCTTGATACATTACAGGTAAAGGGAATATATGAAGCATGTTGAAAAGCACAGGAATTAAACAGAACACACTGCAGTCAATTTTTTTTCGTTGATGGCAGTATGCAAATAATTTGAAACTTTTCTGTATATTTAGAATACTAAGAAAAAAAATCCTTGAGCAGTGCCTTTGAATAAAGCTTTCACTGAAAATTGCCTGGGTCGCCCAGTGACACAGAAAATAAATATATATTGTCTAGTGGGCATTCAGTCAGTATTTTAGCATTTGCTCCTTTGTTTTTCATTACACTTGCTATATATTTTATTTCTTTATGAAGAAATTTCACTTGTAACCTACTAGTAACTGAGAATATTGTCAATAAGTGAGATGGCAACAATTTTAAAATTCCCATATTTCATTTAGGCTCCAAATAAGAAAGGGATTATATCCCCATTCTCTGACAAGTTTTGGCCTATTGCCTTGACCACATTCTGCTGAATTAAATCAACTCCTTAATAAGGCAAACAAAATGGCATAGACAGTTTCCTTTCTCTGTATTTCAGGAAAAAAAAAAAAAAAGGAGGAAAAGAGCTATATGACTTCATTTGAATTCCCTAAACCAACAGCTCTTGATTGGTGGAGCCTTGGGTGTTTGAAAACCTCGCAGGAGTCCATGGAAGGTTGCTGAGGAAAGCAAACCCAGAAGGCTTAGATTCAGCCTATGAAGATTTTCACTTTCAGTTGAGAACTTAAAAGAGTCTGTAGGACTGATTGTTGCTGCTGCTTGATGCCACTACTGAGTCTTCCACCTTTATCAGCCAGGCAGCGAGTTTAAGAAATATTTTCATTTGGTTTGTTTCTTCTTCAGATTATCGCTGAAGTTGTTCCAGTTCAGTTTTAGCTAAAAAGACAAGTATTTGAAGGCTTAGCAGCTCTCCCAAAATGGGATCACTACAACTGCTGACTGAGTTTTGGGATGACAGAGAAGTTTAGGAGAGGAGACAGGCAGCAGTGGAGGAATCAGAGATTTTATGTAGGCAGGGAAGTGGGGCTGGAAGGGTTGAGCGAGCATTGTAGGAAGCTGGTGCTGGGAAAGATCCATGGGAATTTCTGAGGGTCAGAGACAAATACAGGAATCATCTTATTCGCTCCCTGCAGTCCACTCCTCCTGCACAACATCTTTCCCCACAACCTCCTGGTCACATTTTTCAGTGCAAGACATTGCTTTTCACTTCTGCACCTGTTTTGAACTAACAATCAGAATACTCTTTTCACCACCATTTTGTTCCAGTTTATTTGTTAGATGAAGAAAGCACAGTTCCAATTTTGGTTCCTTTGCCCCCTTGTTCTTAGGTTACCCTGACTGAGTAACTGTGACATACACAGTTCACAGTGTTTGCAAATGCAAATTGTAAAAATGCAAACTAGACCTTTGTGAATTTGTTAGAATATAGCGTAAGGTTGCATTTCCTACATGCAAGTATCTACAAAAGAACCCAAAATCACCACCTACATAGGAAATAGCTGTGTGCTTCTTCCCAGCTCTGAGAAATGGTGCAAGTCAAGCTGAATGAGGTGGGATTCTGGGCTGACAGAAAAAGGAACAGCATGTGTGAGAGCCTACAACCTTTTTGCCATCCTCATCAGGAATGCAGGGTCGTTAGCCAGCGAGTCGTCTGTTCTGTCCTCTTCAGCACTTGATGGAAACAACACATTTCTGAGAGTGATTGACAGGAGCTATGTCCTCTGTTACCAATACAAAAGATTCTTTTAGCTGTTGTTCTGCTGTTTCTTCCTGTGCTTATGCAAACACACACATTTCCTTTTCTGTTTCATTCATATCATTTTT